GGATGATAATGTGCATGCTGTCACGCAGTAAAACCTGTTGACTACGCTTGTTAAGGATACATCTTGGACTTTCTAACCGAGTGCCCTCCAGACGTCGCATGGGAAATGTTCACAAAGATGTTTAGAACCGAAGTTCTTCCGATGTAATAACAAATATAAGTCATTTCTGTGGAGGGGAACACGTAAATATATGTTCCTCGGGGATTTCGATCGACGTGTTCACAACGACTGCGAGAATGCCGAAATATGGACTGCGAAATTGATCCTCGAGGACAACTTCACATCTACAGGAGCTACTGAATTGATTTTGCACGAACCACAAACTCTTGTACAAACACATAAAAGGCCTTCATAAGGCGAAGTGCGGAATTCCAGCACCGGTCACGGCTGATGGATGCACGTGGTCATCAGTGGAAGTGGCTGATTTCCTACGTCTTCATTACTCCCAAACATTCCAGCAGGTTACGAGCCCAAATATTCTCATCGTTTCTATCACTCCACCGTCGGGTTAGACAATATCACCTTCACTACGGAAGCTGTGTTGAAGAAGTTGTTATCCTTGCGTATACACAATTCTCCTGGAGTCGACAACATTCGACCGAAGGCTCTGCACGCAGCAGCTAGTGATCTAGAAGATCCACTGGCCGCTTTCTATCAGTGATGTCTAGAAGCGATCCATATTCTACCAGTAGGGCTGCGATGAGTCATCACTCCTATCCATAAGGGAGATAGTCATACTGACCCTGAAAATTTTCGTCCAATAACCCTACTTCCTGTACTATCCAAACTTATGGAGTCAATCACCGCAGATGCGCTGATGCAGTATCCGGAAAGCCACAAATTAATAGCCCCAGAACAACATGGCTTCTATCAAAAGTGTTTGTGTACTGCTAAACTATCTATTGCTCGTAATAGATGGGCTGAAACCGTTGCTAATGGAGCAGGAGTCGATGTTATCTACCTGGACTTCTCAAAAGCTTTTGACCTTTTAGACCATCGTATTCTCCTTCAAAAGCTACGGAAGTACGACATTAGCGACCCAATACTAAAGAGGATAAGTACTTTTCTACCCGAACGTCGGTTGCAGGTGAGAGTCCTGGAATCCCAGTCCGATGAGATTGATGTGGGGTGCAGTGTACGACAAATCTCGATGCTTGGGCCTCGTCTATTCTTGGTGTTCAAACGATTTAGTGAGACCAGTTGCTTCTGATTTCCTAGTTTCTCGAATGATATCAAGATATGGTAAATGTTCAGAGACCCGGGCGACCACGAGTGGCTCCAGTGCGATCTAAACACCATTTCCAACTAATCAGTTTAGAACGCCCTATCATTCAAAATAGACAAATGTCGCGTTGTGCAATTAAGCCATAGGCATGACTACACGTATTTGTTTGGAACACACAGGTTGCAGACCGGCTCCCAGGAAGGTGACTTTGTTGTGCTCGTACAGAGTGACCTCAACAGTTCAAACTGGCTAAGGTAGCTTCGAAAAGGTGTAACCAGCACGTCAACCTGCTGTGAAGCGCATTCGAGAGATTTAACCCATCCATCTTCCCAATGATGCATCATTCCTAAGTGAGCCCACACTTTGAATACACTTTGCAAGCTTGGCAAACATGGTTGAAGCGTGACCTAGAGGCATTAGAGGCACCACAAGGAGGAGCAGCAATGAAGGTAAAGGGCCTGCGCTGCCACTTTTATCACCGTAGGCTGTTGTTGTTCTTAGTTTTCTGCGGACACTACCGAAGGCTGCGCGACGATCTCATAGTAACGTACCAAATATTGTTGCTGCAAATCACGTACGCCACCAGTTGCTGATACTTAGCAACAACAAAGAGCTTGGGGGAAATGTTTGAAATTGAGGAAACAATCTAGCTCTCTAGTGTCAACGGAATTACTTGTGCCTTCAGATTTCCATCCCTTGAACCCTAGCCCAAACTCATTGTATCCTCCTTTACTTTGGACATTTTTATAAAGAAGGTTGGATGTCGTTCTTATCTCCTAGAATTTCGTTACCTAAACTAGGCCATTTTGGATCACGTTAACCATGCTCTTCTACAGGATTTATCATACGGACCTCAGTTGGTGGCGCATGCATGGGCGACCAAACCTTACTGTTCTCACGCTTTTCACCAACGATCAATGCACGCCATGTATTCTGTGTGCTTACACTCGATATTTATTTTAGACTAACGCTATTTACCAACCTATTATTGTTGCTGGTGGCTCAGCAGATGACCCGTATATTTTGAGTTTATTTTATTTATCGCAACCATCCTACGGGACCTGTCAATCACTTGGTTTTATCCCGCGATAAATCATTGTTCATTGAAACCGCGAGGCGGCCAATCCATGACGTCGCATAGAGCCATGAAAAAAGTGGCTGCGATAGTTGCTCATAATAATGCGTGCCGTCCTCGTGAGGGGCCACGGGATCGCCCGCAACAACGGTTAGAGACCTTCTCAGAGGTGGCGCAGTCAGTGGCGTTCCAGCATTAATTTTCTTGTATCGGTTTCTTAAGTCCCGTTCATTCTGATTAGTTTAACGCTTTTCTTTCTTGTTACCATTTTATTTACATTCTATTTCCCTTTAAATCCATTAGCTTGCCGTTGTTATTCATTTGTATTCTTGTGATGTGAATTGTGGCAACTGGGTCCACCACACTTCGGTGCTCGTATCATGGTTGTTTAGCTAAACTGAACTGGCAGTCCGTCCAACGCAACCTCAACCTAACTCTCGAAGTCAATGGATTCACCTGGATTTGCACACATTTTTTTCAATCTTCTTGCGCGCCGACACCGCCTTTCGTATGGTCCCTACAAAATCCTACTTTGTGTAGCCGGTCCGCGGACGTCACTGTAACTCCTTAAAAGTGGTCGATGTGTATTGATTCCTCTTAGTCTTACCCTCTATTTGCTCTCCGGCACTTTTTCTTTCCCTCAAATGTGCTTCCTTAGCTGCCTCGTTTACATCCACTTCCTTATAGCCGGTTGTGATATGTGCATCCAAACGTCTACGAGGTATTTATTTTGTACTACAGCTCTAAGGGTCCACTACGGCCTGTCGTACTAATTGGACAAGGAAAAGCTTGGGACGCAGGACCGGAGGAACTTTACGTTTCGTATTGGACATGAATGGTTGTAAAGATTCTATTAACATTGATCGCCTAAAGCCTGCCTACGTCGAATTGCAATCGCCTCAACTATCTACCGACACTTGTGTTCCTGAACAGATACCACTACAAAGCATCACTCCCACTCACCGATGTGCGACATCAGTGTTTACCTCTCATCCCGTCCACATTTGTTGCAAACCCAGATATAATTAAGCGTACGCGCTCAGGACGTATATTCGTTGTTCCTTCTCGACTTGTGACTCAAGGAAGCTAGTGCCTATCCAGCATTCCCCCCTTCGACTCACGCTCCAGGAAACGGGTTCCGCAGCACTTGTATATTTCACCATTACAACTGTACTTTTCGTTCTTATTTGTATTATTTATAGTAGAGTTTGTGTTACTCAACTGAATCGGTACACTCTTTCAGTAAGATTGCACGCCGCATCCCACTGCACTTAGGATGCCACCTCGCATGTTGATGAAACGCTTGAGAGAAAACCGCCAAGCTCGAAGAACAAATGAACGGTATACTCTTCTTCAAATACGGTTCTGCGTTGTCGTTCCGGTCTGATGCGTGCGAAGTGATCTTCGCCCAAATGGTTAGGGACTGTCGCCTTGATCACGCTACGCTATCCGCCGGAATTTACCGCTAGTTAGGGAACTACTCGAAGTCGGAAGCCTACCGAGGGTCAGTGATTGTTGTTGTCTAAACCGACTGAGTTGTGACTAACTAACTACTTGTGACTAACTACTTTCTACAAACTAATTTTGTGTTTCCTCCTTCGTTACCTCAACGTCCGCCGCTCGAATGGGCCAGAGTTCACAACCGCACAGTGGGGTGGAACGTAAGGTTGAATTGTACTCTCTACCCCTCAGAGAGAGAAAGAGAGAGAGAAAGTGATGTTGCGCAGGCGCCATAAGTGGCGGTTAGCAAAATACTCTGAGCTTCTGCTGTGTGGTTTGTGACCCCGTCTTCGAATCAATAGGCGCTAATACAACTGTTTAGGTAGTTGAATTTCTGAACATCTTAAGACCGATCTCCAGCAACGGCCAGCCTTCCTACCACAATGATGCACTTCAACCCACGCCCAAATAATAACTAAAAGCCTGAACGTAGAAGCCTTCCAACATACCCCTTGTTGGAATTCCGTTGGAATCCCATGTTACTCATGCCACCCATCCTCACTTCCCCTTCCCTTGACAGTTCTATCGAAGACACAGCCTTGAACCTTAACACACACTTCCAGTATTTCACAACATTGGATCTTATTGTTGTTCGTATCTTCTGATCTTCCGCCTGTTTGACACTGTTCATCCGCTTTCACGTTTGCCCCCGGGGAATCGAGCTAAGCCGAACCTCGCCTTAGTTGATTCGTTCTCTATCCCTCATAACCTGTTCAATGTTAGGTCCTGCTGTCATGATTTTACCTACTGTTCTGTATTTAGCACGTCTTGTATTGTTCCACCAGTGGGCAGCCTGAAGGGATAAAGAAACGCTTATTACATAAAATGGTGGAAACGCATAACTCATCGCTGGAATCACACCATTCTGCACTGGAATGACTTGGAATCGGCACGATCATTACCCATGCACCATTGGAGGGAATGGGCAACGGATGACACCACCAACGCAATCCAGGCCAAATAGAACCGAGACAGCACAGACATGCACAAATGTTTCCCAACGTGTATTGGCGAAATCTATGCCCCACCCCACCATCGGTCGCCCAGCCAGCCACGATGGACAAGCTTGCCAACATAAAGGCCGATGAAGCACGCCAAACGCACCCACACAACATACATTGGCTAGTCAAACCTGTCTGTCTCATCGATTCACCAATCCAAACCATCGATCAATACGCCACTGACTTCAGTCAACCAATCGACACTAGATTAAGCGCAGATAGGCTAGGCGTTTGGCTCGGCTTAGCGTGCGCCTACAAACCTCAGTTGGTCTTGACGCTATCTGCCTACGGTTGCTTTGCTACTCTGGTAACAATGGTAAGTTTCGCTGTACTGTCGATTCATCCTTGTAGCGGGAGTGCATCAGTGTACATGTTGGTCAAGCTGGTGTTCAGATGGGCAATGCCTGTTGGGAGCTGTATTGCCTGGAACATGGCATCCAACCCGATGGTCAAATGCCCAGCGACAAAAGCATCGGTGGCGGAGATGACTCGTTCAACACGTTTTTCAGTGAGACCGGTGCTGGGAAACATGTTCCCCGAGCCGTTTTTGTGGATTTGGAACCCACTGTTGTTGACGAGGTCCGTACTGGTACGTACAGACAGTTGTTCCATCCGGAGCAGTTGATAACTGGGAAGGAGGACGCTGCGAATAACTACGCCCGTGGGCATTACACCATTGGGAAAGAGATTGTGGATCTAGTTCTAGACAGGATCCGGAAACTGGCTGATCAATGTACAGGTCTGCAGGGATTCTTAATTTTTCATTCGTTCGGTGGTGGAACCGGTTCTGGCTTCACCTCTCTCTTGATGGAGAGGCTGAGTGTGGATTACGGCAAGAAGTCGAAGTTAGAGTTTGCCGTTTACCCTGCCCCTCAGATAGCGACAGCAGTGGTTGAGCCCTACAACTCCATTCTCACTACGCACACGACTCTGGAGCACTCTGACTGTGCTTTCATGGTGGACAATGAGGCAATTTACGATATTTGCAGGTAGGTGTGAACATTTTTCATTATTATATCTACTCTAGGCGAAATCTTGATATCGAACGTCCGACGTACACTAATTTGAATCGTTTGATTGGACAAATCGTGAGTTCGATTACTGCTTCTCTTCGCTTCGATGGTGCTCTGAATGTGGACTTGACGGAGTTCCAGACCAACCTGGTCCCTTATCCACGCATTCATTTCCCTCTCGCCACGTACTCTCCGGTTATTTCAGCCGAGAAAGCTTACCATGAGCAACTGAGTGTTGCTGAGATAACTAATGCATGCTTCGAGCCGGCCAATCAGATGGTGAAGTGTGATCCGCGTCATGGGAAGTATATGGCGTGTTGCATGTTGTACCGCGGTGACGTGGTTCCGAAGGACGTGAACGCAGCGATCGCGACCATCAAGACGAAGCGTACCATACAGTTTGTTGATTGGTGTCCGACTGGTTTTAAGGTGGGTATAAATTACCAGCCTCCTACGGTGGTTCCGGGTGGTGATTTGGCGAAAGTTCAGCGAGCGGTGTGTATGCTGAGCAACACGACAGCCATTGCGGAGGCTTGGGCCCGATTGGACCACAAGTTCGATTTAATGTATGCTAAGCGTGCTTTCGTGCACTGGTATGTTGGTGAGGGTATGGAAGAGGGCGAATTTTCTGAGGCCCGAGAAGATCTTGCGGCACTGGAGAAGGATTACGAGGAGGTTGGTGTGGATAGTGTTGAAGGCGAGGGAGAAGGTGAAGGTGAAGAGTACTGATCTGCTTACCCTGCTTTGTTTATTCTTTAATATTCATTATATTTGTTCGTTCTCGTTATTTCTTGTGCTACATCCTCCACCGGGGTTATATTTAGTATGGTGCTTCGTTCGTCGGATTTGAAGGTTGCCGTGTCGTGCTTTATTTATTGTGCTTTGGTGCTCATTCCTTTACTGGTGATAGGCTAGCAGTTTAGTGAACCGACTACGTTTTAACCATATTAATGTGATTTTCGCTAGTAGGAACCAGAGTATCTATCCGAATTATTGCTGGTGAGGATTTGGCCGAGTGTTTTCTCCTCAACCATTGATTTGTTCGACTACTGCTATTTTACGGGCAACGTCGCAACGGGACTGGACCTTAACCTGGTGCGACTGTTTGCCTACCTCGTCGACCCATTGAGCTATACAGGGTGGGGCCCTTGGGCTCCTACCAGGTTGGTCATTGGATAG